GTTTGTAATGAAAATTGAGACATCATCTATATTTAGTTGCCAGAGGATAAATTTGGCAATAATAAACTAACATGACAAATAAATTAGAAAAATAAAATGAATATTATTTACATAACCTTGAAAGGGGGTTTATCTTTTTGTTTTGTTGTTTGTTGGTTTGTTTTGGTGTACTGGCTGATTTTTATTTCTTTTGTATTTTCTACATGGCCAAAAGGAAAGCAAACCTGAGAGATGGGTGTAGCTTTTTTCTTGTAAGAGACTATGTTTGCCAGCTTTAAATCCACTTATTGTCAAAACTTTCAAAAGAAACTATCGAGGTTTTCAAACTGTACTGTTTCTAATAAGAAGATTTGGTGCTGACTAAAATTTTCCTAATTCATTTGATGCCTGAATAAAATATAGGGAATGTAATTTTTTTTAGCAAATCCTTATATAATTAAAATATTTAACTAAAAGGCAAGAATGCACACTAAAAATAATCATTTGTTTTTGTTGATTTAAGTGACAGCATTATTGGAAAAGCAGACCTTAAAAATAATTATGGTATAGGAATGCTGTATTAAAAAAAGAAAATATATTCCAGTTTTTTCATATGTAATTTGTCAATTTCCTTTAGTATAGTCTCAAACATTAATTTTTAATAAATAAAGTGTGTTTACAGTTTTGAACTATGGTAGTGATTTGATAGGTAATTACTATAAAGTTGAGAGTTAATGAAATTGTACGTTATTATTTATTAAAAACAATTCAGACAATTCATATATACCCCAGCCTTTTCTGTGATTTTCATTCTATGGTTCCCACCTCAGTATGTTGTAAAATTCCTCATTTTAAATGTATGCAAACATTAGAACCTGTCTTATTTGCAAAGAAGAGAGAAAGGAAGAATAGAAGAAGAGAAGGAAGGAAAGGAATGGTTCTAAAACCTAGAAATCTATTAAAAGTAGCCATTATTAGCTTGTAATTCAAGATACTTCACTAGACACATGCCTGGAAAGGAGCCAAATATCAGGAATAAAAGATCCACGTTGAATTTTACAAAGAGAACAAGTTCCAAGAATAGTGACCGTATTTCAACTGACATACTGAATAAAAAAAGCAATTTGATGTACTTTCTTACAGCAGCACAGTACTTTAATATCTTCTTATAAAGCTTAATTGGTTATCTTCCAATTTGATTTATTTTATGAATGATCTATCTATACAATCCACGCCTGCTACAAAACTGTAACCTTGTGATTGCCCTTGTCAATAGAACCTACTGTCTGCTATTTACCTTGATTTATTTTGATCACAATGGTTAATTGAGGGATATTATACATACTATAAAAACCGACAGAAAAATGATGGGCTTGATTTTTCATTCAGGTCCAAGAAAGAAGTCTGCTATTTTGATATAGGGGGAAAAAAATTTTTTTAAACAGATGTATCAGGGGAAAGAAGGAGTCTGGCATTTATTTTCTATCCAGTAGCTATAATATCTTGTTTACAAAATTGCTCTAAAGGCTGCAATTATCTGCTCATCTTTTTAATTTTTAAAATATGACTGAGAAAAAAAATGAGGCTTAAAATCATCACATTATTTTTGCCACCTTTTTTCTTCTTATTCTTATTATTTCCTGTAGGTGGAGGTCTGGTTAAACATGCTCCTACCTGCCTTGGTTTTGAAACTATTACACCTATTTAAAGCATGTGACAAGAGTTGAAAATTAGACAAGTTATTAGATGGTCAAATTGTCTTCCAAAATGCTTAAGAATATTGCTTTAGTGTTGGGTGAAATGCAAATGTATTTTTAATATACAAGCAGGAGCTCTGAGGTAGAGCACTTCTACAAATGTAATTTTGACTCCTAACTTATGGCATCAACTCAGTAGAGATATTCAAACCAAGTCCAAGTTGATTCTTATTGATATATCTCATATAATCTTATCTTTTCCAGGTTTTTTAGACTTGTTACTATCCTTAAGTAAAATATTTTTTACTTTAAAATTTACCCATTTTCTCTAAAACTAAGGAGGGAAAGGCAAAGATTTACAGAAAGCAAAAAACAAGCAAGTAAATGAATAACTGCCTCAGGCCTAGATAAATGAGGCTTTATTTAAAATATGTTACTTACATTTAAACCTTTGATTTTTATTAAGTTTCTAGCTCTTAACAAACTTCCATGATAGAGAGGTTGCTTTGAGAAACCAGGAAAAAAGTGCTTATGTGGTGATCATCCAAGCATGAATTGCAAAACCCTCCCAGCTTTATAAATGTGAATGTGGATTGCTTTTGCTCTCAATACATTTTTCTCAGTACAATAAGAAGGACAATATTCCAAGTTTGAGGTTTATACCACAAGGCATTTTTGAATTTTGCAGGCATAAAAACCTGTTGAAATCTTATGATTCAGTAGGGAACACATTTCCTCCCTCTTCCTTTCTAGCATATAATTCAAAAATGGCAAAGCCAGTTTTATCTAAGCTCCCCCAAATATTCACCTTTGGCCCTATGTCAATAAAAAGTTTTACCTCCTAAGAATTGCTTTCTGGAGTTTTACTAGAAAATTCATCTTTACCTCAGCAGTCAATGAATATCAACTATTGAGATCCATCTTTATCACCCTCAACAGTATGCTTTGGGCCAAACTAAAGGTGGGGTTTGTTTTCGTATAGAGAGTATCTTATGGTTAGTTATTGGGAAAAGTCAGCCCAAAATAAATTTCCTGAAAATATCCCATACATTCTTGCTGTGTAGACCAAGGAGAGAGATGATGAATATATATATAGAGAGAGATATAAAAAATACATCTTGATAACAAAAAAAGTTGAAAATCAATGAATGACATGTATCTAAGTCACAGAATATATTCAATTTAGTCACTGGAATTTTGCCCCATTAGAGGTCATCAGAACTTGCTACCACAGTGTTGCTGGTCTCTGTCACGACTCTTGGCAGGTCCTGTGTAGATTTAGAGTTTTCTTTAACAGAAATATATAATGTGTCTCTGTGTGTATGTGAATGTATGCACACCTTCCACCTGAATATAAATGTTACTGCACTTGCCTTCAGTAAAAATAAAACTCTCTATTGACATTCTAAACAGCTGTTTTCCTATTTCCACTAATATGAGTGAGATTTTCCAATGCCAAAAAGTGGAAGCAAGTGGAAATAACCTAAGAGAAAGACTGTCCTGCTAACCTCATATGTTTGGCAATTTATCACACGAGTAAAGCTGATCTGCCATTTTACATATACAACAAATAAAACATTACACAATATTTCCATGTTAATATTATTTTACATTTTAATTATGCAGAAGTAGTCTTATAGAAAATGGGATTCATTTTCAATGCCCTTCACTTATGTGTCAATAATTTTCCGAATTTCTCTTGATCATGATTAGGAAAGCACCCTGGCTGAAGTGTTTCACAGGCACAAAGTGACTTTGTATATTATGTGATGGGACATACAGTGTGGCTGTAGTAGGTAACAGCCAGGGGACTTATCTAAAATTACATAACTCTGCAAATTTGAGAACACAGTGGAAAAAAAGAACTGAAGTTTAAAATAGAAGAAATAAGAACTATGTTAGCTTAAGGGGAACTTTCTCCTTTAAATTACTTTTTGAAGGGATTTCTTTTAATACAAACTTACTAAACTGTGGAAAATAAAGAGGAGAATGTACAAAAAAAAAAAAAAACCATGGCAGGAGGCAATCTGTGGGTATAGGAGTTAGAACAATACAATGCTGTCCATTTGGTTTTAGAAAATAGGACAAAGAGGTTGAATTAATCTTCAAAGGATATTTTACAGCTGCTATTTTTTTTTAAGAGGAAACCCTGTAAATTAACAAGAGAAATACAGGAAGAAAAAGAAACACTAATATTCATTTTAAATTTTTGTATTACTTATATTTTCACCATATTGCCCAGAAAATCTAACTTAACACAGTAATAACATGCATCCTGAGGATTAATTCATGAATTGAGAAAACAATCATTTTGGATATGATCTGTGAGAATGACTTTTAAAAGTAAGTTACTCAAGTTAACCAAGTTAAAATACGTCTATTTTTACGAACCATCATGTCATTCTTAAGTTAATCACTTGAATAGTATATTTTTCCCCATAAGCTACAATCCAAATTGTTTTTGTCCAAATAATAAACTGACCGAAAGTGCAACTAACGAACAGATCTCAGAAAGTGAAAATACCCAGTTGCATGAAGAAAATGTTGGCACCTCTCTGGAACTTGATTTCATTTTTTTTTTCATAATTCATTTGACTAATGCACCTTTTCTCCCCTCCAGCTGCTGTGCCGAGTGTCTGCCTTCTGTCTTAATATCTCATCATCTGCCATCTCCCAGAAGTAATTTTCTGACTGTTTCTGTTTATTGTCAAATTTTCATGACATTCTCCCCTCCCTTTTTGCAACTCCTACCCCATGTCATGCTGCAGTGACTAAGTGGTGTGCAATATTTGTAACAAGCAGGTTTATTTTACAATGAGATTTCAGGGTAAAGCATGTTCAGGCAGTAAAAGAAAAGAAAGCTGATTCCATAATTCGCTTTTCAATGAAGCTTCAAGGGTAATCACAACATGGTTGTCTTTGAATCCTGAGGTCATATACTAAAGCTATTACAAATGATTTAATAAATACATATTTAATTACTGAATCATTTTAAGTGCACTATCTAATTTTCTTACCATATATGGCACACAATTACTAGATTTCCTCAGGTTTCTCCAAGTAATTTCCATTAGCATATATTCTTGATCTTTCTTTTCCAGAATTTGGAAAACTATTTAGACAATTGCCTTAGAGAGCAGCCACATATTTAAAATAAATAAATAAATAAATAAATAAATAAATAAAACCCCACAAAACCATATCTTCTAGAAACTGTGTGAAAACATATGAAAATACTGTATAGCACTTTCAGAAAAATTCAAAAATAAAACTGGACATAAGTTATTTTATACTAAAATTGTGTAATGTATTCTTTTACGCTAGGACAGTCTTTGCAATGCAAACAATTGACAAGGGTACCTTGACAACAAATTCACAGGAGGAAAATAGAGGAAGAAAAGAACTACAAGAATTCTCCAAAGTCACAGTCAGTCACTTCAATACTCTTGTCTAATACTGATTACAGCATGTATTGCATACCCTAAGAATCAGGCACTATACTTTAAAAGCACTAAGTTATTCTACTCAACAAATGCAAGTGAGTATTTACAATTGCTATCTCTATGTTACAGATGAGAAATTGAGGCAGAGAGAGATTAAATAAGTCTCCAAGTCAGACAGCTTGTAATGTAGGAGAGATATTTTGTCCAAACCATCAGACTCCATTTTCAGCGATTGTAGCCACCAAGTTATACCAGTGCCCCACTTCCAAACAAGTATTTCAGGCTTCCCTAAACTTATTCCTGGTAATTTTTCCCTAGATGGTTAGCAGGGCCTGCTTTTTAAACTATAAACAATAGTAGGCTGTTAAAATAGCCATATGTAATAGATCATTTTCTGCCAATTCTATAAGGTCCTGTTTCTTTTATTTTTCTTTTTTTTTTTCTTTCTTTTGTGTGTGTGTGTGTGTGTGTGTGAGAGAGAGAGAGAGAGAGAGACAAAGTTTCTATCTTGTTGCCCAGGCCGGAGTGTAGTGGCAGGATCCCGGCTCACTTTTACCTCTGCCTCCCAGCTTCAAGCTATTCTCCTGCCTCAGCCTTCCAAGTAGCTGGGATTACATGCATGAGCCACCACGCCCGGATAATTTTGTATTTTTAGTGGAGATGGGGTTTTTCCATGTTGGTCAGGCTGGTCTGGAACTCCTGATCTCAGGTTATCCAACCCCCTCAGCCTCCAAAATTGCTGGGATTACAGGCCTGAGCCACTGCACCTGGCCTAGGTCCTGTTTCTTATGAAGCATGAGTTCAACTCACATTATACATGACTGCAACCGTGAAACTTCCTACATCCATTTGGATCGCATCTAAATTAAACAATAAAATAAAATTAAGATTATGCCTAAATATATGTCTCCCTTTGGCCATAACTACTAGGCCTCTCAGCTAAGATTTGTTAGTGTGCAATTGAAATAGCATCCTTTAACCATGATCTTCCATGTGATCTCATTCTCATCCCTCATTTTTGCCTTATCTGCTTAAAATTAGGTTAATCATTTTCAATTCTGTGCATTTGTGCTTTAAAAAATGTGTAATAGCCTCAAATCTCCTTTGAAAATGGGAAAAAAATCTATCTGAATATATGGAAGTGTAAATGTGTTACAATTAAACATTATAGGGGCCTACTCTCATGTTGATTTTAATCCCAAAATGTACAATTGGTCCTTTTACAACCAATTAATAACATCTGATTTAATGGCTCTAAAAACATGACTAGTCCCTAACAACCGTTGCTAAAACTTATTTAGTCCTTTATTTGTATTGACCTAAGTACTTTACATATATTATTTTATTCTCCTGCCAGCTATATGAAATAGATATTGTCATCACCTGTATTTTGCAGATGGAAAAATCAGGCTCGAGATGAACTTGCCCAAGGTCACAGCATTAGCAAGTGATGAAGTTGGGCTGCAACCCAGGAAGTTATCTAATTTGACGTGTTAACCACTGCTCTATATCAGTACCATCCAAATGAGTTTTCTGCGATGACAGAAGTGTGCTATAAAACAGAAGTGAGTTTTTAATTTAAATTGATTTTAATTAGTTCATATGTAAATAGCTGTACATGGCTAATAGTGACCACACTGGACCTATACTGCCTCATGTTGCTATGTTTCACATATTTTACAAAAACATATAAACTCACTTCTACCTGTAAAACAGTTAAAATCTTTCATCCTATTCTCAACAAAGTAATGTTAACAAACACGGAGAAAAAGCGTATATGGTTTTGAACTCGTATCATGCTAATACCTAACAGAACAGAGGGAACATACTGGCAAATCATTACTTCCCAATTGTATCTTTTGTTTCACACATGAAATCTATTTACAACCTGGTTTCTTCCTTTCTAGCTGATCTGTTGATCCGTTTTTGAAGAAGGGGTGATGACACAACAGTGAAGCAAGCTTCCTTGTGTGTTTACAGGCAGACAGCTAGCACTGCCCCTGTGGCGCCTCCACTCACGAACACTTCCTTCCTTCCACATCACTTTCAGTGTTAAACTCTGTGACTGGGGAAAGGCCCACAGCAAATACATGCAAAGGAGTATTGCTTCCAGCTTCTTCTCAACCTTCCCATTATAAATAGCCCAAGCAGCACTCAGTTCCTTATAACCTCAACAACAGATAAAACAACTAACATCTGCTGAGCAGTTTGTTTCGTCCAGCACTTTTACAAGATAAACCATCTGAAAGTCAAGAAATCCTGCAATCTTGAGGCCAAATACGCTTAACTACACTTCGTGAAAAGGAAGTTAAACTCAGAAATTTCACTTGCTCAGTTTTGCAGAAGTACTATTTCACATAGTAAATTCACGAATAAAGATTTGAGGGATTTTGGTTTTATTTTGCTTTTTTTGTGTTTCATTTTGACCGCTACTTATACTAAATCATCCTGTGTGCTCAGAGGTCAGACTGCCTGGGTTTGATTGTTGTTGTAGCAATTTAGCTGTGTGATCTAGGGAAAATTAATTAATCACTCTGTGCTTCTGTTTTCTCATCTTTAAAAAGGAAATAATATTGTTCCTCCTTTTAGGATTGCTGAAATATTGAGTTCATTAATAAAGACTACTTCCAACAGTATCTGGCATGGTAGCAAATGTTCAATAAATATCAGATGTTACTACTGTTGCTATTCTTTTTGAGAGGGAGTCTCGCTCTGTCGCCCAGGCTGGAGTGCAGTGGCGGGATCTCAGCTCACTGCAACCTCCACCTCCCAGGTTCAAGCGATTCTTGTGCCTCAGCCTCCTGAGTAGCTGCGACTACAGGCGTGCACCACCATGACTGGCTAATTTTTCTATTTTTAGTAGAGGCGGGGTTTCACCATGTTGGCCAGGCTGGTCTTGAACTCCTGACCTTAAGTTATCTGCCAGCCTCGGCCTCCCAAAGTGCTGGGATTACAGGTGTAAACCACCACACCCGGCCTTATGTTATTCTTATTGATCAGTCTCACACCTTATTTTAGTACTGCCTGTACTTCCTAGGTTAGTAAATAAAGCATATTGTGCCCTGCCTTGTAAATGAGCTATCACGTGTGTATGGCTTCATCCTGTGACTTTTCTTTAGGCCGAGGCTCTGCTTCAAATTTCTCTCTCTGTGTCTCTCCTCTGGCCCATAAAACTTAGCAGAACGCAGCACGTGGGATATAACTATCGATTACATGCAAACCGAAGTTAAATGTGTCTCTCCAATGTAACATTTTTTGTTTGTTTGTTTTAATCAATGGGAAAGACTTTCCCTAGCCACTGGATAACAGGACATGTGGTCACAATAGTTGTGAAGTAAACCTCTAAGGACGACAAAGAAGCTCTTCTCCTTGGAGACTTTAGCAGGATTTGCACATTCACTCATATGGGCCTCAAAAGATTATGGGGAGAATGACATTCTTTTTCCCAGACAACCTAAAATGCTGGTGCCAGGTATGTACAAGAGAAAAGAAAACCTACTTCATTTAGCTTTAGTTAAAATGAAGAAACTGGTAAAGGTTGAGTCCCTAATCAGAAAATTTGAAATTCGAAATCCTCCAAAATTGGAACCTTTTTTTTTTTTTTCTTAGTAATAGGGATGCTAGCTCTGTCGCCCAGGCTGGAGTGCAGTATCGGGAACTCTGCTCCCCACCTCCCGGGTTCATGCCGTTCTCCTGCCTCAGCCTCCCGAGTAGCTGGAACTACAGGTGCCCGCCACCATGCTTGGCTAATGTTTTGTATTTTTAGTAGAGACGTGGTTTCACCGTGTTAGCCAGGATGGTCTCGATCTCCTGACCTTGTGATCCACACGCCTCGGCCTGCCAAAGTGCTGGGAATACAGGTGTGAGCCACCGCGCCCAGCTGGTAATCAGAACCTTTTTGAGTGTGGACATAGTGGTCAAAGAAAATGTTCTTTGGAATATTTCCAATTTTGGGTTTTCAGATAAGGGATACTGAACTGGTAATCACAATGCGAATATTCCAAAATCCAACACAAAATCCCAAATCCGAAACATTTCTGGTTCCAAGAACTTCGGATAAGGAATAAGAGATTGAAAACATCGAGGATTAGGAGTACAGGGCAGTAGCAATTGGTAAAGAAGAAAAAAAAATAGTATTTTTGTGGTGAAATGTTTACAATGTGGAAGCTTCTTTCAGATGTCACTGTCTCTCTAGACAGAAAATTTCTTGGTAAGATGCTACTACTTAAGATTCACTTTGTACATATTCATTGTCAAGATAAGAAAAATCCTTCAGTTGGAAAGTCTGCAAAGGAGAAAGAACCAAAAAGTTACATATTTAAATGAAAGTATGCTCCTGGGAGGGATGTTACAGAGGTGATCAGGAGGCTTAAAACAAATAAGCATGGTAAGTATTTTTAAATAAATTTTAAATAAGCCTGATTTTATTTCTTCTAGACTAACCGTGCCTTTTCAAAATTCTACTCATGAATGAATAATGTGAAAATAGTTATTACGTTTCAAAGGATGCATTTATCTATGAAAGTGTTAAGATAAAGTCATCTACTCAGAGCTAAGGTTTAGGCTAATTAAAACATATAAATTACTTGTCTTCTGACCTAAAGGAGATAGGCTCAGGCTGGTATCAGCACAAGCCGTGATCTCAGCAGGGAAATTATGATTATAAATGGAATGGAGCTTCAGATATTACAGGATTGCACATGTCAAAATATTTGGGGCTATAACTAATAGACAGAATCAATATAACAGACGCATGCATCATTCTTCCCTTTGATTTTTCTATTAAGTTGAACTCAGAATACCTCAAGCAATAATCATTTCATGCCAAAATTACAGTAAAATTTGCATGAATTACTAAAGCATAGTTTTATTTAAAGAAATATTCTACTTTATGAAATTTTGTTATTTGTTCATGTAATGCATTTTCTAGTTTTCTGGGATTATATCTCCATTTATATTCAAGTCATGCATCGGAAACTAATTTTGTTAGCATCATTGCAAAAAATCTTTCCCTCTGTATTCAAGAGCAATCTAAGTAGAGCCTATAACTCTACAAAGCTTATTTATGTCAATTTACTTTAAAAACTGGTCTACCTTAAATACACTGGAGCATTGTGAATGGTGCAGTGAAACTGCTGGGCTATTAAATGCTATTAAATTGTGCACATTGCTGCAAATAGGAACAATGAGTCTGATGTGAAACAGTGTGAACATGCACTGCTGGTGAAACCACGGTGCCTGAGTGTTTATCATTTTATTCCTTTGAAAGGCTAATATACCCCCAGAATTACATTTTTACTCGGATCAATGTAAAGATCACTCTACATTTTTGGCTAATATTTTTCAAGTGTGTGCATTTATAAGCATGTTGGGGATTCCCAATTAAGTGAAAAAAATCAGGTTGACAGAATTTGTAGGGATGAGGGAGCAATTGTTATCTATGGTTGTTTAAAATAGCAAAGCAGCTTGCTTTAAACATTGAAAGAAGCTATATTCTATCACATTGGTTCAACGTATTTGATCATTATTATTAGGAGTTTATAATTAGTTTAAATAGTGCAGTCCAAAAAACGCTTTTGTTGTTTTGTTCTTGTTTGCAATTGGTTAATAGGACTTCAATATTATACCTGTTAAGAAAATAATCACAGTGTTGAACATAGAAGTAGGGGTAAATGATTTTGTTCTCAACAACAAATATAAACGTATTGAACTTTCCTTTAATTTATGTAAATATTCTCAACAATAAAAATAACATCAAAAGGAACTGTTCCAAACAGCTTCTACAGAATCAGAGTTTTGTTCATTCTTTCTTCACCACACGATTTAATGACTGGGTTAGTAGGTGTGCTTTTTAAATTCTTTTTAAAATATAAATCAACGCTTATAAATGAGTGTGTCAACTGTGTTTGAGTGAATGCAAGTTAATGATTCCTTACATATTTGAATGTATGTATGTGTATGTGGGTATGATGGTCATCAAACACATTGATGTGTAGCTGTATACAGAAACACAAACATATGCTTTAAAAAAATTTGCACTCTGACTTAGTGAAAGCACTCCTCAGATACATGAGTATAATTTTATGTTGATTTTATGCTCTCTTGTTAATCTTATTTACGTATATATAAGCATGTGTTTAATGTTGTATTATGAAAAAAATAAACTAATATTAATTTAACCAAGTTTAAAATATATTCTGAAGATAACTTTCAGCACTCATACCTACAAAATGCACAAAATCTGTCTTATTATTTTATGTATTGGGAATTAAAATATACTACATGGCTTTACCTAATTATTTTTAAATTAGGGTATATGAGTCACGCTGTGGACTATTTTATGAACTGTTCTTTGTCCACAGGTTTTTGTTACAGATGATTGTATATGTAGCCAAAATGCCCTTACTATAATCATTGAAAAGAAGAGCTTATATTGGATTTAAATACATATTAGACATACATTTTTATTATCAACATTCTTTGGCCCACACTACCACCTCTTACATTCCTCGTTTCCCCATTTAATTAATATACTTTCGATGCTTCACCATCTATATAAGAGTGTGTATTTGTGTGTACACATAGACTCTAAACTATATAAAATATACCATCACAGCACAAAGAATAGTTCACACTAAAAACAATAGTGATATCTCCTCCATTTTGTCACCATTTTACTAGCTATAAGAACCACCATTTAGGAAAGTGTTATTTTCTGGTTTCAAACTCTGTTTTACTATGTTTTACATAGATGGAACTTGTGCTATTTCTTTTTCTGTCCTTTTCTTCTCTTTTCTTTGTGTCACATGTTTTGTAGGAGAGAAGGAAAGAAGAGAGGCAGGGAGAATTGAAGAAGAGAGGGAAAAAAATAAGAGAGAAGATAATAGAAGAAAGCGATGAATGGGTCCTACCATTTAATTGACCTCATACTTATTTTAACCTTTTCCTCTTTTCCCCATAAACAACACATTTCCTAATTCTTACATCATGCTAGCTAAACGTTAAAGCCATAGAAAATAATTTTCCAGGATAGCAGATCTTTTAAACTGCCTATGATGGTGAAATATATCAATCTATCCAAAACTCATCTTATTTGCTGTGTTTAAGATATACCTTGTAATTGAAGGCCAATACGTTCAGATATAAACTAGATGTCTGTGTATATATTGCAGACTTTCCTATAGCGAGAGTAACTTTGTTCCAAAAAGAAACTCTTTTTGAATATGAAAAAAAAAAAATCCTTCTAGCTTTGACACCTACTGACCTTATTTTCTAAACATTAAAATTGACAGCAGAACCCTACTACTGATTTCCATAATCCTGTAAAATCTTTGCCCACTTCAGCCTTCTCAATTGCAAAGCTATTCCAGATGGGGACC